ATGTATTTAGCAATTCAACAAAGACTCTATTTGTCCCTGAACCAAATGGAATTCTTAAAAAAAAATGGGATAACTTGTTGGATAACTTGTTGAGGCCTATCCCTCTTCTCGGATTTCCAGATTTATCATTTGTTATTTGTTAAATTACTGGTTTAGTGTGAGAGAAAGATATGCCTATTTATCTTAACAATGAGTGAATTAATGAACACGAAAGCGAAAGAAATGAAGTTTAACCCTAACCCTATTTTCTGGCTTTTCGGTGGATCAATCATTTCCTGAAAGAATCTTTTGTATTATTTCTATTTTTTTTTCTAATTTCGAATATAAATTCTAATTCTATATATATTTCTAATTATATATATTAAAAATGAATTATCTAATTCTAATTATACATATATTAATATAGAATTAGAATTTATATAATTTATTTTTATAAATAATTTATATAATTTATTTTTATAAATTTAGAATGGATTTTTTTTTTTTATTTTATTTTTAAGGCGATTAGAATGAATGTTTTATGAATATAAGAATCAACAAATTCTATGGAATCATGAAAGACGGAAAGATTCTTCGAATCTAGTCATACCATTTCGTGATATTGACAATTTCAAAAAACTCCTCATACTATGAGCATAGTATGCTGGCGGTCGGGCAAATGTGCCCCCATCGTCTAGTGGTTCAGGACATCTCTCTTTCAAGGAGGCAGCGGGGATTCGACTTCCCCTGGGGGTAGGGTATTACGAAAGGAAGTTGATCATGGATTATTAATAAGTCTGGAATTGATTCTTCCTGGGTCGATGCCCGAGCGGTTAATGGGGACGGACTGTAAATTCGTTGGCAATATGTCTACGCTGGTTCAAATCCAGCTCGGCCCAATAATTCACTGATCCGCCATGAAATGATATAACCCCCTTGTTCTCTCGAAATACCTGATACAGAAAAAAATAGAAATTTCTGATATATTTCTACCTGTTCTTTATTTGATTTGTTTTCTTTTTTTTCTCACAAATTCTGATCTTGCTAATGATCTAGATTCAGATCAGGATTTGTAAGTATAAAGTTTAAGAAAAAGAGTAATGTAAAGAAAAAAAGGAGTCTTTGAAAGATTTTTTTTATTATCAATCGACTTTGATTTGAAATAACGAAAAGATGACTAGCAATCCCTGTCCCTTTTATCACTAAAGTGGATATCCATGTGGATATCAATATACCACTCCCGTTTCTGTTCCAATGTGGTGATTCCAATCTAAAATCTAAATAGAAAAAATAGAAAGGGTTCGAATAAAATCATAAGAATATGTATGCTGTACACTTTATTGCATTTCCCCGGGATTGTAGTTCAATTGGTCAGAGCACCGCCCTGTCAAGGCGGAAGCTGCGGGTTCGAGCCCCGTCAGTCCCGATGGATCAGAATCCAATAATCTAATAATAAAAAAAAAAATACATCAATGCATCTCTCCCTTTTCTGCAAAATGCAAAAGGGGGACAATTTCATTCTCAAGGGGATCCTTCTTATTCTTTGATTCTTATTATTTATTCTTAATTCTTATTCTTAATTAATATTTTATTCTTATTTATTTCTATTTATTTATTTTCGTTTTTCATTAAATCTCATTCTCATTAAAGTAAATAGAAATATAAAATATAGGAATTTTCATTTTTTCAACTAGTACTGATTGATGGAGCCATATGTGGATTAGTACAATTATGGGTAGTGTCATATTTAAGATTCCAAAAGATACTCTATTGAGTTTGGATTTTTCGATTTCTCCTGACCGTATATATAATAAAACCGAATCGAGTACCATATCTTTTCCGGTAGTCCATACACAAATGGAATTTGTATTTGGACGATACAAAATAAATTGAATTTTTTTGATAGAATCCTTTAATTTTAATAAATAATAAAATAAATTAAATAATAAAATAAATAAAATTAAATTAAAACTAGAAATAAAATAAATATTATATTAATATTATATATAATATTATAAAAATTATATATAATATTATAAAAGAAATATTTTATTAATAAAATAGAAAATAAAGAAATATTATGAAATAAAGAAATATTATATTAATGAAAGAAATATTTTATAAAATATTTTATATTAATAAAATAAAGATCAAATAAAAATAAGGATCCACCTCCATTATAGAAGGACTGGATAATTTTTTTTTTTTAGGATTTTTGCTGAAGAAAAACAAACCCTAAACAAAAAAAATGGAATAGAATATTCGATTTTTTATACAATATTTACTATATTGGGACTTGTCTTTATCACATTTTTGTGTTTTCCAATAAGATTAGATCATTAAAAAAGGAGTTTAGAACTTAACTCCCCTTTCTCTGTTTCGTTTCTATTGTTTGTTTGGATTTGGTTGTAACCAATGTAAGTGTAAAGGTGGTTATATGATACTTCGTCAGATGATTGTACAAAGAAGGCGAGAATTTTATAGAAAAGAAGAAATATGATAAATAAAAATAAAGTAAAGAAATTATCAATTGAATCAAGAATTCAAAAATGAATTCGGTATGGATAAACAATCTTTCTATGTTATACTATTCAATTCTCGACGATGAATCGATTTGATAGCTCAGATATTGTTATTCATAATATTGATCAGACTCGATATCATCGAGATGGAATTCATCCCATTGAATTTAGAGGCGAAAGACTTATTATCCCTATGGGATTAAATCCCGAGTTATTGCAAAAAAAGAAAAAAAAAAAAGCGATGAGATTATGGAAGTAAATATTCTTGCATTTATTGCTACTGCACTGTTCATTCTAGTTCCTACCGCTTTTTTACTTATAATATACGTAAAAACAGTTAGTCAAGGCGATTAATTTGAATGAAACTTGACTTCTTATCAATATTAATGATTGAAAAAATAAAATCAAAAGGATTCCTATTTTGCGTCTTAGATGAAATGAGCGGACTAGAATTAGCAGTATTCTATGAGATCTGATAGTATGATAGAAAGAAATAGAAATATATTTCTTTCTATCATACTATCTATTTTTGTTTTTCTAGTGTATAAAGTTGTACTGTATAAAGATATAGGCTTAATATAGAGATAGATTAATCTATAATATCCTCTCATATTCATATATCTAGATATCATATATCTATATGTAATGTACAGAACGTCCCAATTCTATTTCTTCATCTATTTGATTTGTGTTGATTCCAATTAATCTGAAATAGTCGAAAGGCAACTCTTACTTTTACGATTCTAATTCCTAGATTTCCGATTATTTTCAATATGAATCCTGGCGTTTACCGAAAGAATAAAATCAATGAAAAGGAAAAAAAATATGAACATATATTAAATTTTAAATTAATAAAAGAAAATCAAGAAATCTTTTTTTAGCATTTCGAAGAAGTAATTGATTGAATAGTTGGCAGATTGTCCAAGGAAGGGAGTTCTATAAAAATTTTTTAAGATTTCAACGAAAAGGATTAGTAAACCCTGCCGATTTTTAACCTTTTAATCATGATATGAAATGAGTCAAGTCAATAAGGTATAGCATAAATCCAATATTTAAAATAATAAAACAAATACTAAACCAAGCACTAAGCAAGAAAATCTCTTAGTATACGTAGTATCCCATTGGAGAACCACTATGTCTATGTCTATCTTATTTCCCATAGAAAATTCACTTAATTTAATCACTTTTCATTTTTAATAAAAGAGCTGCTTTTAAAAGAGCTACTTTCTTTAATATCTTTAATAAAAGAACGGCTTTCTTTTCTCTTTGAACAGGAAAGAGGTAAACAAAAACAAAGAAAAAGATTGGAAAAAATTTCCTATCATTTGTATTCCTTTTACTTTCGAAATATGAACACGAGAATCGTTGAAATTTTTTTTTGATTATGATTAAAAGGGTATTATTCATATATTAATTATTTATATTAATTATTTATAGAATACATTACTTCACTAAAATCCAATAGAATTTGGAAATGAAGATATTTTGAATTCAATTTCTAAATTTGTATTTGTAAGAATTTAGAAATTGAATTAAATAATTAAATAATTGAATTGAATTCAATTTAAACAGTTAAATTTAAAATCTTTGCAGAATGATCTATAAAACAATCGATACAGTTTGATTTCTCAACTCAATTAGTAGTACCCCTAGAGTCCACTTCTTCCCCATACTACGAGTGAAAGGGAAAATGTAAAGACTACCATTAAAGCAGCCCAAGCGAGACTTACTATATCCATGTGAATTATGTCCTCTATCTCTATGAATATGAAGGAATTTTTCCATTATTGTTCACTAATAATAGTAGAATTGCTGGGGCAGAGTCAAAAAAAAAAGATTCTATTCAATATATTGATGAAACAATCCAAAAAATCCAATTAATTCTAAGAAGTTCTTATATGATTGCTGAAAAACTTTTAGTATAAACAAAACAGGCAGCAACGCCCTTGGAAGTATCAATAAAATGTTTCTAAAATGTAAGAAAAAAAAAGAGTTATGTTTTCGTTTGTTGCTCTTTATTAAGTCAAAAATATACAAGATGGATCACTATCTATTATATAATAGACTCTTCCTTTGTTTTTCTATACCCTTTATTCTTTCCATTTGATCTAATTCGCCAAATTGTTTTACAGAAACAATAGGAAGACAGCCTATTCCATTCTTGATTAGGAGTTACCTAAAAAAAAACAAAGAATTTCTTTTAGTACTTTCTATATATTTGTATATTTGATATACATTTGTGCTTTCTATAAAAATAAAAAGTAAAAATAAAAAATGGATATGTATAAGTAAAAGCCAATTATCCATTCAATCACTATTCGATTGATTGAATTCCTGAGTACTCAGGAATTCTCATGAGTTTGTATACAAAAAACCTTTCACCCTTTCAAGAACTACTAATTAGATTCCCTGCGCCGATATCCAATCTAATTCAAGACTCAGTCAGTAGACACTGCATTAGTCGTGGAAGGACTATTATATCCAAATTTACCGATTCCTTTTCACCACTATAAACTTTCCTTGAATCCTAGATTCAAGAATTTACAGCACTTTAGAGAACAGAATTTTCAGATATTTATAATCAAAAAAGTATCAAGATGCCTTTTCCTCCGCGTGCTTCTGTTGGAGGCAAATTCGACAAGATATATCAGCAAAAGGGAATAAGGTATTTTGTGCCTTTTGTTGATCAGGCGACACCCGGATTTGAACTGGGGAAAAAGGATTTGCAGTCCCCCGCCTTACCGCTCGGCCATGCCGCCAAGGCGACACAAAATAGACGAAAATACCCCTCCCTTGTATCTTGAATCCCATTTTTCGTAATCCCTTTCCTAAATTCCTAAAAAAAGAAATCCTTACTTTTCTTTTTTTGATTGGATCTATCTTTTCGATTCATTTTGTATAGTATCTCAAAACACACACTATCTAAATTCTTTCCCATTTATATTGTCTAGTGAAATGAAAAGTGAATTTTCAGTCACAAAAGCCAACAAATTGGAACCATTAACTATTGCCTTTGAATTCATGAACGCTTCTTGGATTTGAATCTAAAATTGTATTTCCCTAATGCTAATTATATAAGAAAATCAAAATTGGATACGTAACCAATCAGTATTGATTCTTTTCAATAAAAAAAATTCTTCTCAATTTCAATTATAACAACGATTATGAGTATATGTAAACCCTAGAACATAAATTTTTCCACAGATAGATATCTAATCTGATATCTTATCTGTCTATGATTCCTATAGGAAAATTTCTATTCAATGAAAAATTGAATAGAAAAATTTTGGTAGAGTATGACATGCACTGTCCAAAAAAGAACTCCCGTAAAAGAAGAGATGTATATATATGGATAGCTATGGTTATATCTGCGTATGTTTAATAAGCCTTCTTATGTACTTCAATCGTATTATATGAACTCGATTTTAAAAATAAATAAAAAAATATCTATTTTATGTTTATGCAAATTCTTTTTTTTTTAACTAAACAATACAATGAAATCCACGAAAAAGCTAAGTGCTAAAAAAGCAACTTTATATTGTTTCTGATTATTGTTTCTTTATCTCACCGAAAGATTAAATCCCAAATCCATTTATTTTATTGGTATCCAATCATATTGGAATAGGTAATATCATAATAATGGTGGAAATTGAATCACTTTTTTTGCTATTCTATACAAAATATTCTATACAAAATTTATATTCTATACAAAATTTCATAAGTCTAAGTTAAGTGGAATTTCTCAATTCCTTGCCAGTTGTATCTGTTGCAAATTCGAATTTTAAGAATTTTAATTTGAGTATAAAATTTTTGAGTATAAAATTCTCTTTATTCCGCCGTCATACGTATTTCATACATTCCATATCCATCTATGAAGTTAGATAAAATTTTATGTGATTCTGTAAACAAAATAGAAATTCCATCATTGCTAGATCGTCGATCCATATAATTGAATGAAGAACGATCCAATAATGGGATTTTTTTTTTAATAAACGGGAAATTTAAAATGCTCGGGGATGGAAATGAGGGACTGTCTACAATACCTGGATTAAATCAGATACAATTTGAAGGATTTTGCGGGTTCATTGATCAGGGCTTAACAGAAGAACTTTATAAGTTTCCAAAAATGGAAGATACAGATCAAGAAATTGAATTTCAATTATTTGTGGAAACATATCAATTAGTAGAGCCATTGATAAAAGAAAGAGATGCTGTATATGAATCACTTACATATTCTTCTGAATTATATGTATCTGCGGGATTAATTTGGAAAACCAGTAGGGATATGCAAGAACAAACAATTTTTATTGGAAACATTCCTCTAATGAATTCCCTGGGAACTTTTATAATAAATGGAATATACAGAATTGTGATCAATCAAATATTGCAAAGTCCCGGTATCTATTACCGGTCAGAATTGGATCATAACGGAATCCCGGTCTATACCGGCACCATAATATCAGATTGGGGGGGAAGAGTAGAATTAGAGATTGATAGAAAAGCAAGGATATGGGCTCGTGTGAGTAGGAAACAGAAGATATCTATTCTAGTTTTATCATCAGCTATGGGTTTGAATCTAAGAGAAATTTTAGAGAATGTGTGCTGCCCTGAAATTTTCTTATCTTTTCTGAATCTGAATGATAAGGGAAAAAAAAAAATGGGGTCAAAGGAAAATGCCATTTTGGAGTTTTATCAACAATTTACTTGTGTAGGCGGAGATCCAGTATTTTCTGAATCCTTATGTAAGGAATTACAAAAGAAATTCTTTCAACAAAGATGTGAATTAGGAAGGATTGGTCGATTAAATATGAACCGGAGACTGAATCTTGATATACCTCATAACAATACATTTTTGTTACCACGAGATATATTGGCAGCTGCGGATCATTTGATTGGAATGAAATTTGGAATGGGTACACTTGACGATATGAATCATTTAAAAAATAAACGTATTCGTTCTGTAGCGGATCTCTTACAAGATCAATTCGGATTGGCTCTG